AGGTGGTGGAATAGCCATAGTGTTTCTAAAACGTCTAGATCTTTATCTAACATGGTTAGTGTTTGATAAATATCAATACCTGAATCAGAGCTTTGATTCCAATTAAAGGTGCAAGAAACATAAAAAGGGGTTTGAATTGGGTTTCTAGAAATGAAATCTTTTTGAAACCAAACACTTGAAGTTAACACAAGAACAAAAACAAATGCAAAAAATTATTTTTATCCTGGTTCACTATTAACTAAGTTAACCTTGTCCACCCACCAAGGTGATTTGCCTTTCTCTACAAGGAATTTATCATTTATAACCAAACTGATTACAAATAAAAACAAAGACTAATCGTCAATGTTTACAACCACAAAGACTAACTGTCAATGTCTTCTTGAAAATTCTAACTAAAGCCCTAGTATCTCAAGAAACAATCAACTCACTGTTGAATACAAGTTTGTGTGTTTAAAAAATTAACGCTTCTTGAAAACATATTACACATAAATGAAGTATAGATAATAACACAACAATGTTAAGAGAAAGTTTGTGATTCCTTTCTAGAAAGTTAACAAACAAAAGTTCCTTGCTTTACAAAACTTTATAAAATTTTTACAATGATATTTCAGTAGCATTTTAGCAAAATGAATCAGCACAAATTCATTTTTTTCCAATTCATCCAAGTCTTCCTTTTATAGCCAAAAATAAATCCATTGGAGGGTAGAATAAAAATACCATGATTTCAAGTTGTCTTCTTGCAACGGTCAGTGTGAGTGGTAGACAACATCTTACCAATAGTACAGCCCTTGCACCACAAAAATAGGGTAGTGGAAGGTGGTGATATTTTACTATTTCTCGCGTGATATCTTTTATCTTCTCTTTTAATATCTAGAGGCTTCATAAAAATAAGAGTTGAAGCATGTTTAGAAGGATCGAAAACATTGTCTTCAGAACCATGCCTTTAGAGTCTTCAGGACTTGTTCTGTAGAACCTTGGCTTCAAAGTCTTTAGCAATTGGTCTTCAAAGGCTTGTCTTCATAATCTCCAGAACTTGTTCAATATAACCTTGTCTTTAGAGTCTTCAGAACCGTTGATCTTCAAAATCTTCAAAACTTGTTCAACAGAATATTTTCTTCAAAATCTTCAGAACCTTGGTGCAAGAGAGCTTGAAATCTTCAGAGCTTAAGAACCCTTCAGAAGCTCTACTATCAGAGTCACAATTAGAAGCAATAAAACTAACGTTCACCAGAACTGTTGTTTAAGAAGTATTCTAAGCAATGACACACACACTTGTATCTCCTAGTGTGTTGAGTCTAGAATATGATGATGTCATACGTCAAATCTTCATAGTCAAAACCTGTTAGCAAAAGATACACACTAAATAAACCATTAGGGTACTAAATTGTTATCTAATCACCCATGTAATGTCATCATCAAAACTTAAGGCCAGATGCAAAACCAAATCTTGTTTTTACAGAGGAAACTAACAAGAAGGAAATTCATCGAACTAGAGAAGACCCTCGTACCAAAGCAACCAAAGAGGTGGTGTTGCAGGTAGAGGAATAGGTGGTGGTCAAAAACCTGACAAGAGGCACATTCAATGTTTCAATTGTCATAAGTGTGGTCACTATTTTAGTAATTGTCTAGAAAAATAAAAGAATCTTGAAAGTGATTCAAAGTTTGTAAAACATGAAGAAGAAGAGATGATGATGATGATGATGATGGTCACAACAAGAGATGAATAAATATTCAAGGAACAGTGGTACTTCGACTCAGGATTCTCATCACACATGTCTGGAAGGAATGATTGGTTTGTCAACATAAATCCCTCGATGAAGAACATGGTGAAATTTGCAAATGACAATACTCTAGCAGCTGAAGGTATTGGTTGTTCTGATTATGAGGAAAGATGATAAAAGTTCAATGATTTCTAATGTATTGTATATACCAAGCATGAAAGTAATACGCTTAGTATAGGGAAGTTGATCGAAAAGAACTACAAGGTTTCTATTAAAGACAAGTTGATGAGAGTTCTCGATTGAATAGGAATGTTAATATTGAAGGCTCATATGTGTCATAATAGAACCTTCAAGATTGAACTTAATGTGATGGAGACTAAGTGCCTTGCGACTACAACTAGCAGGGATGAGTGGATATGGCATTACCGACTTGGCCATCTCAACTTCAAAGACATCAGATATTTGAAGAGAAGAAATATAGTTTCAGGATTACTAGAAATTGACATTCCAAGTGAAGTGTGTGTGCAGGCGAAGCAGCACCAGAATAGATTCTGCAAGATTTCAGGAAGCAAGTCGAAGGCAATCCTTGAATGTATATACTATGATGTATGTGGACTAATCCAAGTGCATTCGATTGGAGGTAACAAGTATTGTGTCACTTTCATAGATGATTTTAGTCGAAAACTATGGACTTACCTGATCAAGAAGAAAAGTGAAGTAATTGAGGTATTTTCCAAGTTTAAATCTATGGTCGAAAGACAAAGTGGTCGAAAGCTTAAGATTCTGAGAATGAGGTATTAACAAAATTAGGTATTTTGGGCTTTGTTTAGGGAGCAAAAAACCCAAAATTTATAAATAGAGAGTAACCCTTATAATTGTACAAGACTTGCAGTTGCAAAGAATGAATTCTAGTTTGGAAGCAGAGAGAAACTTTGTAAAAATATTCATATTCTTTCCATATTTTCGTTGAAACCCAAATTCACCTTTCTTCCCAATTTCATATTTTCTTTTTTCTTCCATTAACAATTATGCAACGGTAATAATCTTGCAACCAAGATTGGTTGATTCACTCGACTAAAGAGTGAAGAACAAGAGAGAATTCAATCGATTGATTGATTCTTATTCATCAAGATTGATTCAAAATTCTCTATAGACTTGGTATAATTCCAACAGTAAGGTGCACTTACGAGACATTCTCACAAAAAAAGAAGTCAAAGTGTGATGAAATTAATGGTTAATAATTAAGAAACATGAATTATGTGAAATATTGTGTTGTTATGTTGGTTACTAGCCGGACACGTAAACAATTTAGATATTCTCAAAAGTTTGTTAAATTAATTATTCTTTCCGTTCTTTTTTAAGTGTTATTTTTTAGAAAAAAAATTGTTCCTTTGTCACCTTTTAAGCTAAAAGTAGTATTAATCGTTGTTTGGTCAAAAGTACTCTTAAGTATTTATTACAAAGAGAGAATAAAGTAAAAAAATATTAATAAAAAATTAAGAATATCATAGCCAAAAAGATAATTATTACTTAAAAAGTAACAACACACATTAGTTTTCTTGTAATGTGTAAAAAGTCAAAAAAATGACAATTAAAAATAAATGGATGAAATAGGAGTATATTGATTATTAGTCGGGTGAGTAACTTGCTTTATAAGTAAATAATTAATTACTCTAATCTATTATATATATTAATTATATATTAATTCAGTCTGAACCTTAAATTGTCTTTTATTCATTTGAAACATTATCTATTTAAATGCAAATACCACTTATTAAAAAAATCAGACGTGTCACTTCTAAAAAAGCTCATATTATTTCTCTTATATATTGATGTTCACATTTTATAACTCTTCTGTTTTATTTATGAAAATATTGTTTCCATCTTTTTTTTTTCTTCATTTTTTCAAACCCCAATTATTAGCCCTCAATAATACTCAAATATTTTTTTTCCAGATAGTATATATAAAAAATAGTTGAGAACATGTTGTAAAATATAGTATAAAATTTCTAATTCTTACATACACATTTTAAAAATAAACTTTTTATATATCATATATAATACATGGTTAATTCCTTTTTAAATTAAAAAATATTTATATATATTTTCTAAAAACATAATCATTATCAATTAAAAATATTTTTAACTTATAAAATCATGGTCAAAATTATAATATTTATTTTTATTATATATTTCTCTAATAAAAGTAAAATACTAAATAGTTTTTCTTATAAATAAAAGCATTTATTTTAGAATATTAAATCTACAAATTCAACAAAAAATTAGAAATGGGTTCTAATGACAATAAAATTATGCAAAATCAAATAATGACACATAATAATACTTAATATTGGTAAGACATTTTAAAATAAAAACGTCGCTTCAAATTTAATTCATTTCAAACATTAGACACAATTCTAATGAAAAAATTACTATTAAAAAAACAATAAATACAATTTAAAATTAAAAGAAATGTATTCGCTACTTAAAAAAATCAAACACATTTCGATATTAAATGATATGTATCCACTACTGAAAAAAGCTGAGATCAGATTAAAAAAATATTATGTTCTTATTAAACGTTTAAAATTAAATAGAAATATTTATTATTCAATAAACACTTTGACTCTCATGTACATTTGTACACAAACTTTGTTTTATTTCTTTCATTTTCTCACCATTATTCTTTCCTTTAGTTCATCCATTTCCTTGGTCATTTAATATTGTGGCTAGATTTATCTCATTCAGTGTGAACTATATATATATAACAATTTTCTAATTATGATTTAATTCTAATTTCTAACTAATTTTCACCAAACTTCCTCGATTATCATTAACTTCCTCGATTTTCATTTTAATCTACAAGAATAAAATGTCATATGTGACCATTGACCACATACATACATATTTAAATATATATTTCATATTTTTTTTATAAATCTAATAATTAATAATTTTTTCTCTCACAAAAATAAACATATTCTACAAACAAAAAAGAAGCTAAATAAACGTGAGATGAAAATCCCATCACTAAAAATAGAAAACCAATGAAAGGTGCAAAATAAAGTGTTGAATAACCCCCCTTAAATCAAGTGTTGAATAACAAACAAAATCCAAATTTAGTAAAAACAAATTCATGGACACAATGCACTTCTCTCCCACTATAAAACCATGATACCATCCTCCTCAAATTCCTCGTGGTTGAATACAACAATCGAGCATAACCAAACTCCAAGAAGAACAATAAGAAAAAGAAAAAAAACAACAAAAAAATTCAAAATGGAAAAAATCTTCTCGGTTTTGGTTATCTGCGTGATTGTATTTTCTCACCAAACCTCCGCAGAGGAAATCAAAGGCAAAGCTTTAATCCAAAGTGTATGCAATTTATCACCAAACAACAAGGATCTCTGCGTGCAAGTTCTTTCTTCCGACCCATCAAAATCACCAAACGCCGATCTTACAGACCTAGCAATAGTAGCCCTAAGAGTTGCTGCTAAAAACGCTTCTGCAATTCTAACCGACGTGAAGATGTTGATCGACGATGCTGATCTTGACCCTGAAATCCAACAAGGTTTGGCAGATTGTAAACAAACAATCTTGGACGCTGAATCTCAGCTTGAAGACACCATTGCTGCATTGTTGGTTGAAGCCGATGTTGATGCTCAAACATGGTTGAAGGCTGCTTTGGCTGCTATTACAACTTGCGATGATTCTATTCCTGGCAATGATGATGTTTTGTCTGTCAAGAGTCAGATGTTCCGCAAATTATGCAACATTGTTGTTGTTATTACCAAGGCCGTGCCTGCTTCACTTCACGCATAATATAAATTATGTTTCAAGTAATCTTCGTGTTATGTGCTAAATGGATTGACGCTTTTGTTAATTTTTCATATCTTTTTGTGATATGTTATATGAATCTTTTATGATTCTATAGTATTCAAAGTGTTGCTCTTTTTTTTCTTTTTCTTTTGGTGTGTATTTTGTTAAGTGGAGGAGGAAAAAACTTAGAAAAATAAAGTTTTTGATTCACATACGAAAATGTCTGTTTTCTCTCTTTAACTATTTAGTTAACAATATGTGACACACAATCTAAATCTATAATATATTTGTCTTAAGGCTTCAAAACCTACTTCATAATATCAATCAAATAAATGAACAACGTGAGACATTGTCAACAAAGTATAATGACCTACACATCAATTGTAACAAAGTTATTTTCTCTAAGATATTCATTAAAATTGATAATAATGGAAGATGACAAGTTAAGGATGATGCATGATATTAATTGCAACAAGTTAAACGGAGTGCTATAATAACTACTCCCTATATTTCCTATAGGCATTCTTTTTTTTTTTATAAACATTTTTATCGTATCAAATTTATTTTATTTAAATATCATACAACATTTTTTATTAATTTAATTTTACTACTTTTATATTTTAGTTCATATAACTATTTCACGATGTTTTTCATTTTATTATTGAAATCAGTACAATTAATAATTATCTTTAAAAAAATATATTTCTTTAAGCACACATTACTTTAAGATAGATGGAGTAAAATAATTGTAAAAAGGAAGATTTAAGCATTACTCAAAATTTAATTTATAACAATGGTCGATATTTGATCGATAAATTTGGTGTGGTCTTGTTAAAATAAATTGATCTAGATCCGAGGCAAGGCAATGTCTTAGGTCTCAAAGACTATAAACTATTTCAGCAAGAGTATCGTCTAATTTTTAGTAGTCTAGTGCTAAAGGCTTACAACATATTTTAGAATACGGCACTTTAAGTGTCATTGTAGTTGATTCTTGTTTCTTAATTTTACCAATTTTTCATTTTCTTTAATAAAATTTTATAATTATTGATGTGGTTTAAGGATAACATTTACACGTTTCTAATTTTCACGAGTTTATATATTTATTTTCTTTCTATAGTTAGTCTTCCTGCATTCAAAGTCTTGAATGCATAGTCATTTGCTTCAGCATGTTCAACTTATCCCTCTTCATTCTAAGTTACCATCATATGGTGGACGATAGAAGATATGCCTCATATGACATGTTTCCATTCTCTTTTAAGTAATAAATTGTAGTCAACTTTGAGGGTGCTATAATAAACATGGTTGATCTAATTATATAAACTACCTTTATGTAAATTTATGACATCGTTACACTTCAATGTTTTTTCTCATTAAAATCAGTTATCAGCATGTGGTGAGTCACTAATTCATCTTTTTATTTTTTATTTTTTCATCATTGAACCAGACATTAAATTGACTACAAATCCTCCATCTATGAACATATTATTTATTATAGTCCCTGACCCTCCTCAAATTCAACTTGTATGAACAATGATTTTAAGTGCCCATTTATCTTCTTTGTAAGAGATCAAAATATATTGAAGTACTAATTGGCTTATAAAGAACCCTTGCAACATACACAGTCAATTTAGCCCTTCTTCCTTTTTAAAGTGTTCTTATAGGGAGCCTCAAGGCCTTATACATTTTCATATTTTGTTAGAAATATTATTTATTATTGTTTTATTTATTATTTATTCTTTGGTCAGAGTTGTCCTAGTTTATAGGAAGTTTAGTTAAAGTCAATAGACATGGACTATATACAGTCAGATTAACAGGACTTAGTGGTTAGCTTCAGATTAATAGGACTTAGTGGTTAGCTTAATTTTTTAAGTTATTTTTAAGCAAAACTTTGTTTTGATCTTGATAAGTGAAATAAAATAGCAATTTTCTTTTATTTGTATGTGTATTTTTTTCTCTCTAAAATTAATAGTGATGTCGAGAGAAAGTTAATTTAGAGAGAACAAAAAAATCCGAGTGAAACACAATGAGATTTGAGAGAAAACAACAATTATAGATCAATGACAACTTTCAATGAGAATTTTGTGTAGGCTGTAATTCCTCATTTTAATGGTCATTTATGAATATTGGAGCATGTTAATGGATAATTTCTTGAGGTCCAAAGAGTATTGGCAACTTGTTGACTCTAGATTTACAGAGCCTGTGAAGGGAGCAGTTCAAATAGATGCGCAGAAGGCAAAACTGGAGGCATTGAAACTCAAGGATCTTAAAGCCAAAAACTACTTATTTCAGGCCATAGATCGAGAAACTTTGGAAACGATTCTCAGCAAAGAAACCTCCAAACAGATTTGAGACTCAATGAAGAAGAAATTTCAAGGGAATGCTAGGGAAAGACGAGTGCGGCTTCAAGCCCTACGAAGTGAATTTGAGACTTTACACATGAAGTCAGATGAATCTGTCACATATTTCTTTGGAAGAACGATGATCATTGCTAACACAATGAAAATTCATGGAGACAAGATGGAGGATGTGACCATTACTGAGAAGATTCTTAGATCAATGACAGAAAAGTACAATTTTTATTTTTGCTTCATTGAAGAATCCAAAGATATTGATTCACTCACGATTGATGAATTACAAAGTTCCTTGCTGGTTTATGAGACTAAAATCAGCAACCAAAACAAAGAGGAGCAAGCACTTAAAGCCTTGACTTATTCAAATACCTCTAATTTTAGAGGAGGCTGAGGAAGCGGTAGAGGAAGAGGTCGATGTGGTTACAGTAAAGGCGATAATGGTCATAGCAGCAACCATAACAACAATCCTACCAACCACCAGAATTTAGACAACTCAGGAAGAGGAAGTGGTCGAGGTGACTATCCTGGAGGTAATCATTCAAACAATTATCACCCAAAATCTAATGTTACGTGTTATCACTGTCATGAATATGGTCATTATCAAAATGAATGTAGAACTAACTTGAATGGCCAAAATGGAGAAAGGACCAACTTTGTAGAAAGAGAAGAAGCCGAATCTATCTTGATGGTGTGCAATGTGATCGAGGAAATTCCAAATAATCTGTGGTATTTTGATACGGGCTGCAGCAATCACATGTGTGGTGATAAGATGATATTTTCAGATTTTGATAAGTCTTTTCTTAGCACTGTCAAGTCGGCGACAACTCCAAAATTAATGCTGCTGGAAAGGGAAATATTATTTTCAAGGCCAAGGGAAATAAAACTCACAAGATCTTTGATGTCTTCTTTGTCCCAGAATTGAAGACCAACTTGATTAGCCTAGGATAACTTCAAGAAAAAGGGTACGAGCTTCTGATCAAGAATGGTGTTTGTCGGGTTCAAGATGAAAAAATAGGGTTGATTGATCAAGTTAAAATGACACATAATCAATTATTTTCATTAAATCTGCACAGATCCATTGGTTCTTGTTTCTCAGCAAAGATTCAAGACGTAACATGGTTATGGAATTTTCGCTACGGTCATCTAAATTTTTTAGGATTGAAAATGCTGCAACTGAAAAATATGGTGATAGGTCTTCCAGAAATCGAACCTCCAAGTGAGATTTGTGAACATTATGCTGTCAGCAAGCAACACCGAGACTCTTTAACATCTGGAAAATCCATCAGAGCCAAGAAATTGCTAGAGGTGGTTCGTTCAGACATTTGTGGCCCTCTAAATCCAATATCAAATGGAGGTAAACGATACTTCATTACCTTCATTGATGATTACAATAGGAAGACATGGGTGTATTTTTTGAAACAAAAATTTGAAGCATTTGTTGTTTTCAAGACATTTAAAGTCTCTGTTGAAAATGAAAGTGGCTGCGCAATTACAGTTTTACGTACAAATCATGGTGGAGAGTATACGTCGCATGAATTCACAATTTTTTGCGAGAATCATGGAATTCAAAGGCAATTTACATCAGCATATTCACCTCAGCAAAATGGTGTTTGCGAGCGGAAAAATCGCATTATTATGAACATGGTACGAAGTTTTCTAAACAGAAGTGGAATCTCTAAAACTTTTTGGCCCGAAGCAGTGAACTAGAGCGTCCATATTTTGAGTAGAAGTCTCACTTTTTATGTTCAAAACATGACTTCTGAGGAGGCGTGGAGTGGAAACAAACCATTTGTCAATCACTTCAAAAAATTTAGGTGTATTGCCTATGCTCATGTACCAGATCAGAGAAGAACAAAACTTGAAGACAAGGGGTTGAAGTGTATTTTTCTTGGTGTTAGTGATCAATCAAAAGCATATAAGCTTTATAATCCTAACACAAAGAAATTTATAACTAGTTGTGATGTGATATTTGATGAACATAATTATTGGGTAGAAAATAAGAGTGTTGTTGTGCCTCAAGAGAAATTGATGGATTTTGATTAAATTCAAGATGAGCAGCCTGGAATTTCAAGTGTGCAGCACCAGTCCATAGTGCAACAGTAGCCTGCGGAACTAGTAGCTGATAGTTTTGTGTAGATCCTTGGCTCACCAGCAACATCAACTTCAGAAACTCGTCCTTGGCATGATAAAAGAAGGCCTGGTTGGATGATTGATTATGATGTGGCTGGAGTAAATTAATCAGAAAGTCAAATAACACACTTTGTGTTTTTTACGGATTGTGATCCCATGGTTTGTGAAGAAGCTATTAAGAATTCAAAGTGGAAAAAATAAGTGGATGAAGAAATTTATTGTATTGAGAAGAACAACACTTGGGAGTTGTTTGATCTTCTACAAGGGGAAAAGACAATTGGTGTGAAATGGGTGTATAAGACAAAATTCAAGGAAAATGGAGAAGTTGACAAGTACAAGGCATGACTTGTCACTAAACTTATTAACAAGAGTTTGGGATGGACTATACTAAAGTATTTGCTCCAGTTTTAATACATGGTACAATTAGAATGGTGGTTATTATAGTTGCACAAAATTCATCTCCCATCTTCCAACTGGATGTAAAATCAACATTTTTACATGGTGATCTGAAGAAGAAGGTGT